ATCTACTCTTGTTTATTGCAGATTTATTCCACAATGACACACTCCTTTCTGGGTGACAAGTTATAGTAGCAAGCCACACATATCTTTGGAAACTGAACATACTGCATTTTAATACATGCTTCCAGACGTACCAGCCAGCCTCAAAAAAAGTGACTGTCGATGGCATTTTTTGTTACAAGCAGGCAACCTAAGAAGATTTGCCCCGTTGCCACGCGTAATTTTGGATAGAAAAGGAAAAAATGAAGATTTTTTGAGGGCGATCTTCGTCTTTGAAGTGCCGCTTTGTTAAAATATGGTATTTTGTATAGTTTATATATTTTGCCAAATATGGTTTGCCGGAAGCGAGGACTAACCAATCAGATGAAAGAAAATATCGCGTGATGTAATTAACATCGCTCACAATTATAAACAAAATAAAATATGGCGCGCCAAGAAGAACCTTTTGGCAAATAAGATAAAAGATCGACCCAGAGAGAGGTAAAACAGAGATATTCTGAGTTTTTATTACGTTTAAACAGTAATTACATGTCTATAGAAATATGTGACCGTTGTGATTTCCCTTATTTGTTGATACAAATCGGCTATTTTCCCAATTTCAATGTTGGCTTGTTCGTGCAAAAATGAGATTTTATCATTTTGTACGATGTAATATATACGCAATCGCTTTACAGCGTTTTTTAAGGCGACAACATTAATTTGTGTGTGGGTATTTGTTTCGAATCGAGGGTACGGCATCTTAAATCACAATTATTTGACTTATTACCGAACATTTTCAATACGATTTCAACTTTCGAGCCGATTGCTCTGTTAGTCTGTTTCTGCCAGCAGGCCCAGCAATGCCAGTATGCATGAGATATACTTTGCTCGAATATTTTAAAATATCTACCGTGTACTGGACTACTGTTTTAACATAATATAAAAGTGGGACAGTATCTTTTTATCCTCCATTTGATACTATATTCTATAATAATGTGAATATCAAACGCTTGCTTGTCTCTATGCTTTGCTAGTGCATATTTGTGTTTGTCTCTATCTTTGCTAGTGCAACTCTTTGTTTGAAGATACCAGTAAATCTCCCTTGATTATAAGTTAAGTTCTTTTATCTCTTGAATGTCTCCTTTTATTTAATTGTCTTGGGCCTTGGCTTGTGTAGGATATCATTCGATCAAGTAGGTATAAAACGCTCAATGTTTTTAATAACAATATTGGATCACAGACACAGATGTGGGTTGACTCGAGGGTTGACTTGAACACAATTTTCCCAAAGTTCTTTTATTATTTGAATGTTTCCATTTATTTAATTGTCTTGGGCCTTGGCTTGTGTAGGATATCATTCGATCAAATAGGTATAAACGTTCAATGTTTTTAATAACAATACTGGATCACAGACACAGATGTGGGTTGACTTGAACACAATTTTCCCAAAGTTCTTTTATTATTTGAATGTTTCCATTTATTGCCACTGTTCATTACAATGTTCATGGTCCCTTTGGCTGGGCTTGTGACCACTTTGAATTTCTCTACCGAATATAATTTTATGCTGGTAGCTATAGTAAAATTTCTAATCGCATGTATTTCTCATGCTTGTGACATAGTGAGATGAATATTATTTGAATCGAAAAAAAATCACAATTATAAATTATTGTTTGTTTTGCCAATTTACATCAAAACTGAAGATGTACCCTCCAGAAGCCAATACAAACACATACATTATGCAATGTAGATCAGTCAAAAACAATTATCGATCATAGTATAAAATGGTATACCGCATGTCCTGATAATCCTAATCATTCATGAAATTAGCAGAATTTTTTGTATCAACAAACTTAGAAAAGCCTTAACAAAGTTCTAATTGTTATTTTGTTTTAGCTATGGTAATCC